ACCAGCCAAACTGGTAATATGATGATACAGCAAAATACAAAACATCTATCACAAATACTTGAGTAATAAATTGGGGTTGGTAGTAAAACAGCAAAAGGGGCAGAGGAAATCAGTTAAGTATATTGGAGCTTAACCTCATTCTACTGAACTGAGGTTTGTAATTGGCCTCCCAATCCCAGAAAACACACGTAATCTTTTATCACACATCTTTGTACTTTTACTTTCTATTCTTTTTTTTTTTTTAGAGGGGAAGGGAGGGAGAAAGAGAAACATCAATGTGTGGTTGCTTCTCATGTGGCCCCTTACTGGGGACCTGGCCCGCAACCCAGGCATGTGCCCTGACTGGGAATTGAACCTGCAACCCTTCAGTTCGCAGCCCACACTCAATCCATCCGTACAATATTTTGTTTGGAAAAAATAAGCTTTGGAAAAAAAGAAAGTCCGAAAACCATGATTTAGAGTAATGTCTTGATATAACTTAGCATTAGTGGTTTTCTGGACCATCATTTGGAGATCTGGAATTCAGTCCTTCCTTTTTCTGCACTGTCAGTCAATGGTGGAAGGAGGGACAGTAGAATTAGCAACTGGGAGGGGATAAGAGTATGTTATTGAAGGGAGCAAGGAAAGTTCTCTTCGGAAGATGAAGGTTATTAGTATACAATGCCACATAAAAACAATATAAGGAATTCCACTGCAAACAGGACAGACTAGCTTCAAAACATTCAAATCCAGTCCAGATGATCTTCCCAGGCTTAGAGACCAAATATTTCTTCCTTCACCTCTCCACAGCCCTCACCTACCTTCACGTCTCTTTCATATACAAATAGTCCTTTTCAGCTGTACTGGAACCACTTCTTGTTCCCAGAACTTGCCTTCCACATTTTTAACTCCATATATTTGCTCAAACCATTCTTTCTACCTGCATTGCCTTTCCCTCAGACCTGTACTATCTAGTTCAGTAGCTGCTAACCACATGGGCTATTAAGTACTTGAAATGTGGCTACTGTGGATTCAGATATGCTATAAATATAAAATGTGAATACATTGGATTTCAAAGAGTATGAAAAAGGATTAAAAATAAGTTCATCTTTTTAAAATGTGACTACTACAAAATTTCAAATGGTAGTACATTGCTGTCTCATAATATATTTCTATTGGGCAGTGCTGCTGTAGATCCAGGGAGTTTTACTGCTACGTATTGACCTGAAGGACATTTTGACTCAGCATTTGTGAATCCAAGTGTTTTTTTTTTAATTTAATTTTATTTTTTTATTGATTATGCCATTACAGTTGTCAAGTGTTTTAATGAGAATTATACTAACCAGTGAATTTTTAGGGAAAGATGTATTTAGTATTAGCAGAATTAAACCACTTCCACTGTTTCTATTTTCATTTTGATTTTAATTAAATATTTTCATGGGGATTGCTTTTCTTCTCTAGTTCTATATTTTTCGAACCATAAAATGCACCTATGTTTTAGAGGAAAATAGGAAAAAATTTGAAGCAAAAAATGTGATATTTAATAACATAAATAACATAATATTTCACCAATGTAAATGTAAACAGAACTCAACAGCAGCATTAACAACCATTATTCCTCCCAATTTGGCAGGGGGAAGTGTGTCTTATAGTCTGAAAAATACAGTAATTTTACAAAGGGCATTCCACATGTTTATCAGGGTTTTTGTTTTATTTTGTTTTTTGCTTTAGTCCCTTTTTTATGTTTTTTGTTACTGGGAGTATCCTTTTGTGATCATGATCTTGGCAAAATGCAATTTTCCTGGGTCAAGTTTTGCAGATAAAATATTTACTGTGTGAAGTTTTAGCCATTGCCACTTATATATGGTACAAATCATTTCCACTAGTAATATTAACTTTAGTTGGGTAAAAGACCAATTGTTCTATTAATTTTTAAACTTAAGAATAAGAAAATTGTGGGCAGATCACAAATAAACCAGGATAGTTCTGTTATCCAAGACTGCTTAATTTTATTGCTTGTCCAGTTTCCCCATAACTTACTACCACTCAGTGTCTTTGGTGAGGGAAAGATCTGGGTCAAAATATCCTTAAGAAATTATTGTTATTCTTTTAGGTGTAATTATGGTATTGCAATTGTTTTTTAAAAGTTTTTTTGAGAGATACACATTAAGCTATTAATGAGTGAAATAATGTGCTATGTGGCATGTCCTTCAAAATAATGAGGGGGAAATGAGTGGAAATATAAGTGAAACAAGATTAGCCATGAGTTTATAATTGTGAAACCTGATGGTGGGTATATGAGATTTTATTATATCATTGTGTCTGCTTTTGTATATATTTGAAATTTCCCATATTAAAAAGGTAAAATAATAGAACTGTTATTTGTTAAAAGTCTTTAAGATCAAAAGTCAGGGGTCAAAATGTGCTTTTTTTTTTGTCCTTACCTTTATCCACAACTGCAAAAATTAAATCCAAACTCCCTGCTATGTTCTCGAGGCCCTGCATTATCTGATTCCTACCTGTCTCTCTAATCTTGTCTCCTGCTACTTTTTTCTCTGCTGGGTTTTTCAGGAAGTAGAATATGAATGGTGTCCCTAAACCAGTATGGTCAAGAGGTCTTCTTCCTCACCATCATTTCACTCCATCTGCCTGGACATTCTTTCATTTCCTGCCTTTGTACTTGTTTCTTGATCTGGAATCCCTTAGCTACTCAAGTCTCAGCTTAAATGTCACTCACTCCTCAGAAATGTCTTCTCTTACCACACTCACTACGGCAGTCCCTTGTTTTTCTCCACTTCATTACTGTATTGTCTTTACAGCTTGTCACCTTTTTTTGCCTATCTTCTGCCAGAATATAAACTCTATGAACTCAGTTTTTCTTAATCTGTTTTGTTCATCAGCACCTAGTACAGGGTCTGGTATATAGAAGGCATTCAATAAATATTTGTTGAATGAATTAATTAAAACTCTAGCCATTTTTAAAGGTCTGCTTTAAATCCCTTCATAAAATCTTGAGTCCTTTAAATGAGAATTAATCTTTTACTGTACTAGGTGTACAGACACAAAAGGGAAGAAAGTTTGTTTCACCCCTTCACCTGTTCTGCTGTGGTAAAACCCAGAATGAATATTTTTTTGTATTGTGTAAGTTAGCACTTTAAAATTATTTTTCTATATATATTTTAAAGGTTTTAGATTACAAAGTGCTGGTTATAAATACTACTTCTATGTCCAGCTGAGAGTTTCAATTTTTTAATAGCCTTTAATTTGTTTCTATGGCTTCCCAATGCTCATGACACATGTGCCATGATGCTGAGATGAAGAATGACTGGTTTAGTTGGACTTGCCTTCACTGACGTGTCTGTGCTTTGGGGAAACACAGGGACACAAATTAATGAGCTAAAATCTCCTGGACCAAGTCTGTTACCAGTGGGGTCATGGTTCTTTTTCAAATGATACATGTAACTTGTAGGCCTGCAAGTGACCTCCTCACCATTTGCAAATTTCTATCAAATATACACATAGAGCAATGTGTTTGTCTATAAACAGAGGATAGTTTAATTCCCAAAACAATATTTTAACATTTGTGCTCACTGTAAAAATATTTTTGCTCTGGAGCTACTTTTAGAAGACATTTTGTCCTCTCCCCAAGAGCAATATTTTTGGAGTGTTTCTTTCAATTAGCTTATTTGCAGAATTGTTTAAAGTAACATTCATTTTATAACAGCAATTGAAACAAATGTTTCCATTTTGAAAATGTCTGCTGGAAAAATAAAGATTTGCAATTCAGATGAATGGGAAAATTGTTAGATTGTTGTAAGTAAAATGGATGTTTATACTTAATTTTTTTAGAAACATCATCCAAAATATTCATTATTAAATGCTTCCTGGATGGATGTAGTAGGTTTTGTGTAAGTCCTTATGAATTATGATTGACAGTATAAATGCCCTAATTTTCCATTCTCAATAGACAAGTGTTGATTAAGATGGATCTGTAACATTATCAACTGAAAAGAAAGTGGACAGAACCAGAGCGCATTGCTCCATATCAGGTTAAACATGTGACAGTTTTATTTCTGTTCAGAAAAATTATTATTAAGGAAGAAAGTTTTCATACATTCCTCCCAAGTGAGTTTATTGGGTTTTTTTGAAGGGTTGCTATAGAAATATAAACTGATATCAATTTGGTACGTGATAACATTTAAAAATATTCTAAATACATAAGTCTATGAGCCCAAAGGTTCATAGGATTTATGTTACCTACTTATATTAAATCAGTGTTTATAAACGTGATTCTGGTTCCTTTTGGGCAATTTTGTTGGCTTTTAGAACATTTGTTTTAAAAAATTAAGAACTGATTTACTCAGCTGATTAAATATTAAGTAGTGTGATATCAGGCAATAATAAATATTTTAAAAAACAGAAATGAACCAAAGGTAGATTCATAGAACAAGATGTGTAAATTTATTTCATGTTTATTGACTTACTGGACGAAGCACAAACCAAACCTGTGCCTCATCTTGTTCTCATCTACCTAGAGAATGCCATAACTGTAAACCTGGAAAAGACCTTCCAGAGATCATCTGATTTTCATCTCTGCCTTAATGAAGGGGAAAACCCAGACCTTCCAGACAATTTGCTCATGTTCCTCTTGAACTCCTCCAGGGATAGACAACCTTTCTTGATAAAAGGAATCTTGTTTTGGTATCAAGCTATGGTAATCGCTACAGGAGTTACCTGTGATTCCCCACTAAGGCAAAGTATACTTTACGAATGCAACATCCCCTCTGTAATTCTCACAAAAGCCTTACAAATTAGTCATTTAAGTCTATTTTATAGAGAATCTCAGGCCAGAGAAGAGTCATTTAGCCAAGGTGCTATTTCTGGTTAAGTGGCTGATCCAGGATTCACACCCAAGTTATCTCTTTCATTAACTGAGTTGCTTCTTAAAGGTAGTGTATGTATTTCTCTATATAAAGGGAAGTAATAAAATAAATGAACATAACCCTAAACTTTTGTTTCAGGAAGTTTCCTTGGACAATGCAAATTAATGATGAAGTATTCACACTTGAAGAATATCTATCACATACTGAATGATTCAGGACCTCCAATCTGGCCTCTTTGAAATCGAATGTGCCTCTCTTAATAAATTGACTACAAATCCCCCAGACTGGTCATCAGTATTTCAACCCATAATTTAGCTACACACACACACACACACACACACACACACACACGCACACACACGCACGCACGCGCGCGCCTTGTAGGGAAAAAGTTCCAAATCTTTCTTTGGGCTTCAGTTTTTAGACTTCCAGACTTTGAGATGTTTGTGTGTGTGTGACTAAGGAAAAGAACAGCTGAATCACTTCTAAAAGTGAATCCTCCCAATTAAAAATCTATAATAAAAGCGAAGATAATTGCGCGTTCCATCAGCCTTTCAACCTCAACAACTCTTCTCCCCAAGCGAACCCAACCTACTTCCATCCCCCAACTCCAAACTGGGTAATAAACCCAAAGGCTAGAGGTAGAAGAATCGACAGCTTGGCCCAGGCTCGGCTTTATTCTGAAGCCAATCGGGGCCCCGGGATCCAAGGATGCCCACGGTCCGGCTGTCAGCCGTGGGGAGCGGGCTAACGTCGTTTATGGGCAAGAGCTGGGCGGGGAGGCGAACAGAGCCGGAGTTCGTGAGGCGCCAGAACAGTCAGACACGGGTCTAGGGAAAGAGAACCAAGAGACTATTTCCAAGGTTACCGAAGTGTGCGGGGCGCGAGAAGAGCCTAGTGCGCAAACTCGCTCACCAGCTCCTGGGTACCGCCGAGCCGCACCAGCCGGCTACCCGCCTGCTAAGCGGAAAACAGCACTTCTCAAGCCGGGCCCAGGCCGGCGCATGCGCCGCAGCCCCTCCCTCCGCTCTCGGTCCTCTCCCCTCCCTCTTCCCAACGGGTCTGGGGCGGCGGCGGCGGCGGCAGCGCAGTGACGTCAGGGCGTTGGGGCAGCTCCTGTGACAGACGGAGCTGGAGCGGCGGGGTGGCGGCGGAGTCTGGCGGCCGAGATAGCTAGTGAGCTAGCGAACGAGCAGCGACCCCGGAGTCTAGGGATCAAGAAGGAGGAGGGGAGCGCCCGGGCGCGAGCGAGAGAAACCGCGAGCGCCGGGCTTGGGTTCGAGCCCCGGAACGGCTGAGGAGCCCGTCCGCTCCCCTCCCCTCCCCCTCCCGGGGCCCGGGCCCAGCGCGCCATCCTCCCCCTCCCTCCTTCCCTCCCTCCCTCCTTCCTCCCTTCCCTCTCCCTCTCCCCCTCCCCCGCCGGTGGATGGGAGTGAAGGACGGAAGAGGCCCTGCGGTGGCGGCTGTGCGGCGCTCCGGTAAGGCGACAAGGGTTTACGCCCTTCTCTGTCTTCTCCACCGCGCTCAGGCGGCCGCGGGCCGAGCCTGGCGGCCTGACGATGTGGCTGCGCCGGTCCCCTCCCTCCCATTCTCCCCTCCCCCTGCCGCCGCCTCCTTCTTCTTCTCTCCTAGCTCTCAAAATGGCGGCCGCGACGGCCGTTGAGTGAGACGCCCGAGAGGAGGGGCACCAGGCCGCTGAGGGCGCTGCCCTCTCCTCCTTCCCGGCCCGGGTTCTGGGGTGTTAGGCCGCTGCAGCTCCACCCGCGGCCCTCCCCGGGAAGGGATCGCCCTCCTCCCTCGGTGACTTAGCAAGAAAAGTATTCCTCGGTAGAAAGGGCGTGGAGAGCAGGTCGCTCTCCGATCCTTTCCCCGGCCACAGAAAGCGAGCTCGGCTTTCCCCACCCTACCCACTGTTGACTGCTCGGGGACCGGGCCCAGCCTAGCGCCGCCGCGGCACCCACAGGCCTTCCAGGAGTTCTGTCCCCCGCCTGTCCTTAGGATGGGGTTGACCTGAGGAGGATGGCCAACCCCTTCTCTGGCCTTGCTGTTTGGTGGTCCAGCCTTCTCATCCTCTAAAATGAGCGGCCGGGCCCGCCGAACCATCTGCAGCATCCACCCACCAAATGAGGCAGGATTTTTTTTCTGCCATTGGCTTCTCAGACGGGAGTTGCCTTTTGACGTTGTAACACTGAGCTTCGAGGCCCTCAGCTAATTCCCCTTCATCTAATCTCCCCACTCCTTGAAGAAACGCAGTGCCTCCTTCCTTAGCCTCCCAGGTGAGACGTGCTTTTGAGATGGTGGGCGAATTTTAATCTACCTCTCTAAGCATACGAGTGGACAGGAAAAAGAGGTTTTTAATGTCTGCGATAAGAGAGAGCAAGGTGCCTTGGCTTTGTTATTCTGTCTTCAGTGACTTGGCAAGAAACTCCTTGGGAGGAGGGCAGGAGATTTTCTGTTTGGTTCTGGGTCCAGTTTATATCAACCCCTTGGTTGGGAAATTGTGCTTTTGAAGAGAAGAATCAGGTTTGTGGTTCTCAATGGGCGATGTCCTGCCAAGGTCCCCCTTCCCCCTTTCCTTAAGAGGCAATCTGGAGAGAATGAAGATATTACTGATCCGGCCGCTACTTAAACACACAGTCCTTGAGATTCATAACATTTCAAAGACTAAACAAAATGTGTGCCATTTTTGGTAATTCTATTTTTGATGGGGAGTGTATTGTTTAGTGTGATTTTCATTTGGCCTTTCATATGTCATCCCTCCCCTTTTGCCACAGTAGTATTTGCTTAAATATTTATTTATTTATTTTTACAGCCGGGTGTGATTGCTTGTGGGGTCTGGTCTCTTAATAAGGAAAATTTCCTGCTTGTATATGTTGGTAGTAATATAATATTAAACATATAAAAAGCTTTTACTTAAATTTTGATTTAGATCTATGGTGTTAGCTTTTAATCTCATGGGGATCTTTCAGGACACAGTTTTTGCAAAAATAATTGTCAGTTGCAAGTTGCACTTTTTATTAAAGCAGAAGAGTAATTTGTATTTAGAGTGATTTATTTTTTCATATTCTATTATAAATGATCATTGTTTGGTTTGTTCATAAGGGGATCCAAAACACATTTGAAGCTTTTTTAAAAAATCAGACTAGAACCCAATTTTTCACAAAATATTTCTGCATATATTGATTTTGATGGAGCTACCCCTGTTATGGTACCCCTGTGGCCCCCTTTTTAAAAATAGGCTAATATTTATGGATGCTGTGAACAGCCATTGAGCCTGGGTGGAGTAGGAGAGCAGAAGCTGTGAAATGCTAGGTGTAGATTGCTCTTTCATAGCATTTTCTCTCTTTCTTATGTTTGTAAGGTTATTTGGTGCTAATTGATGCTACTAGAAAGGCATTTTTCTGTAGTAAATCTTAAAATTTCATGTTTTTAATTTCCACCCTTTTTGCAAGGTGGGTATTGAATAATTGAGGTAAAAAGCAACGTTCGTTTTCTAAAGCAGACACTTATTGTCTATACGAATCTGTATATATATACACACCCACACATTTATATGTGCCCTACTTAATGTTTTTTATTGTTTTAGTCAAGTAATTGTACATTAATGAATGCCAGAAATATTTGGCTAGAAACATTGTAGAAATCTAATAAGAGTACTACAGATATTTTCTTTTACTTTAGCTTACATTAAAACAGTAAAGCTGTGATTTTTTAAAATGAATATCAAAGATGAGTAAAAACGGTAAGATAATTTGTGGTAAAGGCTTGTGCGTTGTCCCTTGAAAGTGTCCTTTTTGTAAGGTCCTACCATAAGAGAGGGAAGGTTACTTTAATGTTTCTTATCAAGCATTCATAGCAATAGACATCTTCAAAAGAATGTTGAATTCATGTGGTAACTGATTTCAGTGAGCCTTATAACTCTGTGTGTTATATTTTTATGCTTTTGTTATTTTTAATGTGATTAGAAAGTATAGTAAGGAATGAGTAAGGTTAGGAATGGCAAGTCACTGTTATGTGTCTGACATATCCCCATCCCTAGTATTTGTAGCTATAGAAGTACACCAAGAGTAGTGATTTTTTTTTTTTTCAGTAGATTACTAGTTGATTGGGAGCTTAAAATAATGTGACTCAAGTACACAAGAGATTTGAATATGTTTCTGGAACAGAAAAATCAGTATAATAATTTTTAGTTTTCTAGCTAGAACATCCATGTTTCATAGTCTATACTTTTTTAATGTAAATATTTCCTGTGTACTAAATTATATAAATATAAAAGTATAATGCAAGAATATATATCAAATACATATGACTACTTTTTGGTATGTGGTTCATATTATTCACAACTTATTTTAGTAAACAAGCCATGGAAACTCTGGAAGTTATCAGCATTGGGATGGAGATGTCTTTTAAAAAGCAATCCCAAAACAAAATATTAATGCAATCAAACTGAATTTTCCAATTCTTCCCATTGAGTTCTAAACCAGTGAATCATGCACTCTTTTGCCAAAAGGACTTGGAGACTTGATTTTAAACTGAGCTGGCCATGTCTGCAGTGCTTCTGAAAGATTATTTTACTTGCCTCTAAGTCTCTTGTGAAAATATTTTATGACAGGCAACCTGTTTCATGTACATTGAAAAAAGAGTTAAGTTTGAAGTGGAAATTCTTTGCCACTCTGTCATCTATAATGCAGCTGTAGTTGTTTTTTTACTTAAAAAGTTGATCTGTTTAGAATAAAATTTATGGTATACAAGTTCTGAAAAGAAAAAAAAACATCTACTCTTTTGAAGATGCTTAGTTATAGACTAAATCCTAGTTACTGAAGAACAAATATTTTGAGCATGTTTCTTCATGAAGAAAGATACTGTATTATATAAGCCTAATAGTTAACTGCAGTGAAGGCTTTTTGCATTATTTTGGCCTTGTTGCTGCTTTGGTATGACATTACCAAATGTCTACCATTTGGTAGTTTGGGCTACTCATTTCAATGGAACTTTAGTTTAGCTTCTGCTATGGGTATAATCTTTAAACTTGCTATGGCAGTTATAGCCTTAATTGATATTTATGAAATGTTTTTATACTAATTGGATAGAGACATCCTAAGTGCTTATTATTTTGTTTTATTGTTTTTCTCTTTAAAAAATAGTGGCTCTTGGTTGAAATTTATCTTACCTAGTTAGGATTGTTATGTGCATTTGCCAAGGATACTTCTGGAAAGG